TTGGGGCCGGCGGCGACCGTTGGCGCTGTGGTGGGGGAAGGAGCGACTGCCTGGCTCTTCTCACAGCTAATTTTTGTTTATTTTTTCTTTTAAGCTGGCCAGGTCTCGGGGCACAAAACGGCAAAGGGTAGTCATGTGGGTGACGTTCACTGCTGCATATATATAAACCCTTTCTCATGGCTCCTAGGTGGTGTGTCCAGCTTTTCCAAAAAGACAAGAGATGTGGCTCGAGCTGTGTTACATGATTTTTATTCTTTTTTTTACAGCCATAGTGTGGAAGGGGAGCTGTTTGAAAACGGAAGCTTGCTTGGTCGTTGAGTAGGTGACCCTGGGATGAAAAAGCAGTGATGAAATTACACACCCCTTGCCACACACAGCCGCCCACAGAGAGAGCCTGTTTGCCTGCTTCATCTGCCAGTATTCATGGGCCTGACAGGGGTGTTTGCTCACATAGCTTTCCTCTATTAACTCCCCCACCCTCCAACCTTCCTTTATCAGCTAGTCTACTTAGCAAGGAGACCCACACATCCAAAAATAAAAATAAAGTAATAATAATAATAAATCTGATTTCCAGAGTTTTCACTGATAAGGATGTGAGTGACTCCTCGGGCTCAAAAAACAAATTTCACTTTACTTCTCAACTGCCAGAACTAGATTTCCTTGTTATTTGATCCAGGGCATTTGGGGTTTCTTTTGCCTTTCTTCATTTTTAGATGCAAAGTTACATGTGTTCATACAAATGACATAAATACCTATGCAAGTCTAGGTAAAGCCTAACTGTAATTATTTGACTTCTTGTGTTAGATGTCGGTTCAACCAACAAAAAAAAAAAAAAGCTTCCAAATAGACACCTTGTTTAGTGGCCTGAAAAAGCAAAGTTCATACAACTTTCCACTTCTGACGGCACAAGAATGAAAAGCCGTAACTCCAACTAGCAATCAGCAGACATTACACAGAAATGGAAACAGAGGAGAAAAGAGATGGATATGTTTTAATTCTAATTATTTTTTATAGGAGGAAGGGATCAGTTAAGGAGGCTTCCTTTGCTAATTGCTATAAAATAATTAGAAACAATTTTGGCATTTCCAAAAGTAAAAACTATTTTTTTTTTCTAAATGTATAGGTCTAAAAAAAGGACTTTTCCATCAGTTACATGGGTTCTGCGTCTCATAATTCATACCTTTGGACTGATGATTCAGTGTTTCTTCAAGCCACTTCTTTATTCAAGCAGAACTTCCAATATGTTGGCAAGAAATTCCATGATCCTTAAAGTCCACATATCACAAAGAATAACAAAGTTCACTGCCGTATTAAGATCAATATGTGCCACGTGTAGATAAGAGCTGAACTCTCATTCTTACAGTGCCAGGCATGTAATCTGAAGAAGGATCGTTCTTGAAATTAGGATTCTCTCGTTGCAAAGCTCACAGAAACTGATATTTTCCATTTTCTTTGAAGGTGAAAATGTTTTCTTTTAGGTCAGATATGCTCGGTGTTCACTATAAAGGCTTTTTAACATCTCAAATACATAGAGACAGGATGACAGGATGTTTCAATATTGTATGAATTCTCCCAATTCTCCTTTTTTTTTTTTAAAAAAAACTTGCTTTTGGTATATAAAGATTTCAAAGATTTTGTGTTCAAAATTAGGCAGGAGCCTTATACAATACTTCCTTCTTTGTGAAAAAAATTATCAAAAATAGAAACTAGAAACTTCCTCAGTAAAATCAAAGGAATTGTCAAAGACAAGAATTATAGACATAATTTGGAAATAAAAATGGATATTGCATAAAAACAAACAAACAAAAAAAAAGCACAACAAAAAAGCATGCCCAAAACATTAATCACCGCAAATTATGGAAAATTACCTTTGCAATTTTTACTGACATTCTCTGCCATTACCTGAAGCAGTGGTGACTAACTTCAGCCTTGTGTCTAATATAACTGCTCTTTCTGGAGGGTCGTGAATTTTAGAAGACATTTTCTTCTGCTGCATAGAGCAGAAAACTTATGGATCTTCTGGAAACAAGTTCATGAAGACATTCAGAAAGTCTCACTTATGATGCCCAGGGTATTCAGAGATGCTAGCCCCAAACATTCAGCCGTCACATAGGATCAACTCCATGACTTTATTTGGAGCACCTTACAAATTTTCAAAATACACCACATTCATTTTCAGGAAAAAAAAAAAAAAGAGAGAGAGAGAGAGAAATCTGACCATGCTTCTTAAAACAGACTTTTGTTTAAACTTCAACATGAGGTTCTCGTTTTACTAAAACTGGAGATGGCTCATTATACAAGTATATTTGTTCAGCATATGGAATGAAAGATGTTTTTAAAATATTACCTGTCTAAATTTCTTGGCCTTTTTTCTCGTATAGGAGCAAACGAGATGGGTCAGTGGAATTATTCCCATTTTTTTTAGACAGGAACCAACCACATTGGGTCTCAGAGATTTGCTTGAAGACACAAAGCAAGAAGACCTACTTGGTCTTCACACTTTGTGCTCAAGCCACCACCTAGCGCTTCCTTCCATCATGATGCTCTGCTGTTGCTTCTTATTCATCACTTCAACATCCAGAAACTCTTCTCCTGCTGCCTTCAACACTGCTTTCACCTTCTCCATACTGTATTACATTAATAAATGATGGACTGAGAACAGATTTTTTTTAATATTGATTCATAGCCTAAATTTAAAAAACAATGTCTAATGCCCAAGACAAGTCTCTCTTCTCCCTAGCTCCCAAGAAAGCCAAAGACAGAGACAAAGAAAGGTTCATCCGAAGGCAGTGAGGCAGAGGGCTCTAACTGAAGTACTGTAGTTGGTATTCTGGAAAAACTCATCTATCTCCAAAAAGACCATGCTAACGGACAGGCTAATGCTGGGCCGACTGAGCTGAGTTACACAGTTACGACAAATGCCTTTCCTAGGCTGCTTACTCAAGTCTAACTCTTTTTTTTTTTCTTCTCATGTTTTCATTCAATTGCAATTTATCCTGAAGAAGTTTTAGCTGGGGAGTTTAAAAGACAACTTTAAGATCCAGATTTCCTTTTGTAAAGGCGATGGTAAGGCCAGGATATAAGGAAAGTGGGTAGTAAGCAGAAGTTGAACCCAGAGCAAATGAGGACTGTTAGCTGATTTACCTTTTAGTTTCTAATTAAATCAGAGTTTTCTTATGAAAGGAAGAACTACATTACAGGGGCCAGGTAAACATGTTTTACAAGCCTGAGAAACAAGACAGGTATAAACAGACCAACTTCTGCACATCTACACTGTAAAACTACAACGTCCTCAAGACCTGGCTCAGCAGCGTGCAATGCAGACAGTGCCAAGAGGATCTCCCACTGCTGCTAAGCGCTCACACAGTCTTGCTAGTACATGCCCCTGCGTAAGACTCCTTGTCTTCTGAGCTAATTCTATCTCCTTGCTGTAGGAATTGGAACATTGAAGACGCTTGTGATACATATGCAGGACAAACATTGAAAAAATACACATCCGTATTTCACGTCTTTACAGATTTCTAACTGCAGTTAGATAAGGTAGACAAGGAAATATCTTCTGAAACCGTTCTGGATGGTCTGAAAGTTTCCTTTGAATGTTTTGCAAGGTGTGCTCTTGAAACATAGTAAATTTTTGAATGCAGATACACTGGTATCTCTGGCATTGACAAAACAGGAAACACTTCAGAAACCTTTTTCTTGAAGATTGGCGATCTGAAAGTGTACAGAATGCAAATCTGAAGTCCCTGTGGAGTGAATGAAAGCCCAGAGTTAATATTTTACCGATAAAACCAAAAAAAAAAAAAAAAGTCAGTATGATTTGACTTGAAAAATAGTATTCCATAACAGTGAAGTTAATACCTTGAAATGCATCCAGTAATTTCAATGGGAAAATTATCCCATAGAACTACGCTGTACGTGTATGACTTGCACACTGCACTGGCTTAGCTAGCATCTCTCAGAAGGGTGTCACTACCCTCCACCAAGAGGGATAAATTTAGGAACTGCCCTGAGCAGTAAATGAAGTGGTGCCTTACCATCATCAGAGAGCCACACACAGAGGAAAAGTGGGACTTCTGAATTTCCATACCACTTCTTCTAGGTTCCCATTTCAAATATTAATCATCCTGGGTAAAAAAATAGCGCTCAGGGTTTTAGATAGTTGGATCTGTGTTCTATGTGTGTTCAGGATTGCAGTCTGATATCATGGGGTATAATCCATATACCCGAGCTAATCCCCATTGGTTAAGGACCTCAGTTTTCAGTAAATGAAGCAGATAGTAAACACCTTAAGATCTGGGGGTAAGGGAAGTTCTTCTCAAGCCGTGAAGCTCTTACTTTTCTGAATTCCATAGTTGATGGAGCAGTTTTTTTCCTGATACTCACTCTGAATAGCACTTTGCATATCATTTTCATAGGAGTAGCCGCCCCCCAAAATAAGATCTTTTCAATGGTGACCTTGAAATAAGATATACCACATTGATTCAGATGTTGAGAATTTTATGGGTGACAAGCAAGAATGATAGGATCCCTTTCTGAACAAAAATTCCAAATTTGTTTAACCCTTTTCCAACAAATTCCCAAGATATTGGACAAATAAATTGGACAGACTTTTTCCCAGTATCTCAATTATTAGTCTCAGAATAATGAAATATTTACCTGAGTACCATTCAAAATGCAGAACACATAGCTGAAAATGAGACTTGTTTCCTCTTGGTTTATTAGCATCAGGTAGCCTACTGTCCAGGTGATTCCAAGCACTACAACTATAGAGATAGTGCTTATCACCCTTTTCATGAATGAATCCTTTTTATTCCTAGAACAAACAAACAAAAAATCTTTCTCCATACCATCTACTATCTTACTGAGCTTTAAACATGTTATTTTATTTATTAAAGGTTGTATCCCAAATAGTTTTTGTTCAGGTGAGTTGAGAATATATGCCTTCCTACATTTGTTTGAAGCACCATCAGCAGAGGAAATCCTGAAAGAGAAATCTGTTCAAACTTTTCTGAATTATCTGTCTTTACAATATGCGTCTGGAACATATCAACAACTTCAAAAATAACTTCAACAACTTCAAAAATAAGATTTGCCAAGGAAACAGGAAGCAGCAAGAATGAATGTATTAGCTATCGTAAGTTTTTAGAAAATGAAGAAATTTAATCAAAATGTCTTCAGTTTTTAATATAAGAATCAGCTGCCAATGCAGATTGGACATTCAGTTTCTCCTCACTCTGAAAGGAGTCAGGGAGAAAGCATTTTGGTTTGCTCCAAGCCCGAAAACTATATATAAAAGAAATGAAAAACATATGCAAAGTTTTCCTGCACATATCGGTTCTATCAGTTAAAAAATAAAGCTTCTAAATTAACACAAATGTCACTGCAGAGTCTGTGACAATGCACTGAGTGTATATGTGAAATCAAGCAAATAAATCTGCTTTAAATCCAGAGAACTGGCCTGATAAGTAGATGTGCAGAGATCCATAATCCTCATTTGACTAGACTCAGCTCTGCTCTCAATTACGTTGATTTACCTTGGCGATAAACTTTATTGAAGTCAAGCTGAGCACCTCTACAACATTAAAAAAAAATAAAGGCAGCGAAAGCCGGCACTGAAGTGCAAATGGGCACAATCTGACCCACTGCAGAAGAGGAATGAATTCTCTGAATGCTTTAAGGATACATACAAAAGAGTTTGTCAAAAATCGTAGTTCCTGGCAAAGATGACATGAGAGTGACATGGCAAGAGAGTGAAGAATTATTCTGAAAGTGCTGAGGAGCTCTATGCCAGCTCACCTTGTCAGATTCTTGTTATCCCTCCATATCACGGAGACTGTGATGTTGATGAAGATGATAAAGTTAAACAGTAGTATGAGAGCTACTGGCAGTAGGAATGACCACAACATAGGCTTTTCCATGCTGAAATTGTGATTTTCATCCAGGGCTGCAAGCCAGCAACTAAATATAGAGAGAGGGTATTTCAAAAGATTTGTTAGGCACAACAGAACAGAAAATCAGAACACAAAAATAATATATCACTTCCCATCCTGAAGGGATTTCTAGATCTTCTTAGCCTATCTCTGGAAGGCAACCATCCTCTGATAGCTGAGGGGCATTCGGTCATGCCTTTCTCTGTAGAGTGCGAAGCAATTTATGAGGCAAACTGCGTAGGGGAGTGTAATGAGTGGAACATAACTATCCACATAGGTATCTGGCCAGCACGTGCAAGGTTATCTTTAGTGCACATATGATAACAGAGCTAAAGAATATTAGAGATGACCTAGTGGGAAAAGGCTGAAAAAAAATTGGGGAAAACTTTAGGCAGATGAGGTTACCCAGCAATAATTCTTTCTTTTTTTTTTCTTTTTCTTTTTTTTTTTTTTTGTGATTGAAAAATAATCTCGGTAAGCCCTCCCTCTAAATCAACATCATGAGGTAACCACCACGGGGAAAGGGACTCGTGTTTGCATTTATTTCAGATGAAGCCCACCTCTGTTTTATACCACCCGCTACCACTAAGGTACACTGCAAGAGTAACATAGCCTGCTTCAGGATGCTGGCACTCAGTGGAGGGCAGATACCAAATGCATACATTTATTAGGGATATCACTTATGTTGGCCAGAAAGCTTTACAGTAAATAGGATGACTAAGCTTCAGTATTGAAATATAGTCATGCACTTAAATGTATCTCGAGTTTCAGCTAAGCCATGAGCACTCCCAATCTCCATTTAAAGCCACAAGGGAGCTTACAGGGGCATTCAAGACATGTGTGTGATTTAGTGTCCTAAATCCTTAGTGAGGAAAACCTGCAGTTTCTTATAGTGGAAGTTGAATTTGAGTGAAGAGGGTTTTTTTTTTTTTTTTTTTTTTTTGGTAAAGGCAATAAATGTAGAATGGCATTAGTAATAAGTCAGCATAAAAGGTATGGGATACCAAGTATCCTAATAATTTATTTACTTACAATTCTTCCTGTCGATAGTTTAATGCATTTCCTTCTCTATAAGTAACTCCAAATGTTATTGCAACAACCATAGCAGGGATTCCTAATTACGAAGAGAGAGACCAGCAACTTATTGTTCAGTTGCATAAATACATACAATACATAATAATGTTCAGTTGCATACCTTATCCCCTTCTGCCGAAATAGCTACTTGTCTCCTAAAATCCAGACATTTTAAGACCTATGTTTCATCTGCACCATAGCCTAGAGGAAAAGGCAGGACTGGCTGTTGTGAGCAGTGTTTATGTGAGGACAGCTCGTGTCCATGCCTTGTGCAGTTTTTGCCTTTCGAGAGCTTCAACACAGCTTCCAGAGATGACTTCTGGTAACAGAGCCAGCTCTTTTCTGTGCTCACTTATCGCAGCCATGCAAGCCTACTCCCTTGTCTGCAGGGGAAAACCAATTTAGCATGAGTGAAAAAACTAATTTAAGAATGTGCTCCTCAAGGGCGGCTCCTGTTCTGAAGAAGGGAACTTCTTCAGCCCTACCACAGATCTTCCAGACTGCCCAGTGTTTGCTCTGCTCCCAAGTCTGAAATGCAGTGCCTCAGAAACATGCACATGTGCGATGAATCCCAAGACACAGTGGAGATCCTAATGCTGGGTTGTCGTGCAATGTTCGCCACAGAGCAGAGTATCATTTAGCAAGGCAGCTTTCACTGGGCATTTTCTGGCTTGCATGTGCACTCTGAAGCCTTAAAGTTATAGCAGAACTATATCCTGTATAGGCTATAGGCTATAGCCTGTATCCCCACCCAAATGCAAGACATAACAATAAAATCATTGGAATCTAAAACAGCTTTGTAGATGCCATCAGAAACAACGTACCACAAAAGTTGAATACATAGTAGCCCAAAGCGGCCAAAGGTCCCTGCATACTGTATTAGAAGAAGGTCTTGAAGGAAGCTGGGATTTTTACCTTACCTACTGAACACTGCATTCTGTATTCCCCCAAGTAATTCCCTCTCAGCTTACAACGTAGCTGCTAATTGCTATAAAGTCTTAAGGACGTGCTCATTACTTATTAATAAATAATGTAACAAATAATGTAAGTCATTTCTAGCTTCTGGATGTGCACAAGGCTCTGGCTGAGATCAAAAGTGCCAGAGAATAGTTTTACTTTCCATATGAAATCACTGTATCTGAGATTTTTTTTTCTCCAGTTGATAGAAACAGCAGGTTGAATGCTGTGATTATTGAGAAATTTCTCCTGCCTGCCACAGTCCAGCGTTGCTGAGCTGAAGAACAAGCTATTGATTTTTGTGCCACATCAGGACAGTGACAACAAACTCAGATGATACCAGTAGTGTAAGCAGTAACTGGAGATTACTTATTAAACCGTAGCAGCTAGCTCAGAACACTGATTATAGTTGCTATCTACTGGTCTAATACTTTTACACACATCCCGCTAACCCGAGTGCACTGTGGACTGATACTTTGGTATGAGATTGCTGTGTAAGTGACTTTAAATCTTACCCCATCCAACTACTGACATGGTTACAACGAAGCGTCCAGGAAGGGGCTGCATGGCTCTAAGCAGCAGTAAATACAACTGTGCAGCATTGAGTGCTGTCCACAGAAATGTTGCCAACAAGAAGTAATGCAGTAGGACGGCCACGGCTGTACACCAAGGGTCTGCAGGAGGATCTACCAAATCCGACGTGAGCAACGTGTTATCAGTGGTGTCATAAGCCTGATACTGCTGGTCGTATCTGGTGGTATCACTGCCGTAGATCCTGGCATTTCGGTTCTCAATTCCAGAGATGAAGAGGATGTTAAAAGTGAGCATAGAGAAGCAGAGACTCACCAACATCCACGTTATGGAGGACTTCCGAGTTTTCCTGGGGGAATACATTTGGGAGGAAAAACAAAGCAAAATAAGAAGTTATAACATACTTCCTCATTTTCTGAACTTCACTTGCATGTTAGACAAAGCAAGCTAGGGCATGTCATCTTTAATACAGAATAAAAATAAAGCTGTAATCTTTAATACAGAATAAAAATAAAGCTGTAACTTTCTGTAGAACTCTATGATGTTTCAGATTTCTACCCAATTTAATGAATTTGTCAATAGTGTCTTATTCAACTACTGCAGAGAATATTTAGCACCTTTGAGACTATGCCCTTTCCAACAGCATTTGGGATGCGTTTTCTTTTTTCCTCCCTGCAGTTTTTAAAATCATTTTATTCAGTGCTGAGAGGTGAAATAGCACGAGAAAACTCTTTCCAAACACTCTTTGAGGTACAAGAGAATAATCCTCCACTTCCAAATTCTGTCTTATAAATGCATTTGACAGACAAAGCCTGGAAGCTCCTGCAAGTGTAAATGCCCATGCATTGACCTTGAGGGAATTACTTCAAATCTACACAAGTGCAAGCAAAAAGAGAAGCTTGCATTCATCTACAGTAGCCACAACTCTGTGGCATGACTTTGCTCCCCATTCAAATGAGCATCTGTGAGCCACATGATACCATGAGTTACGGGCATGTCTGTCAAGGAAGTTTGCTATAATCGTATTTGAAGTGTTTTGCAATAAAATGGTAATGCAAACAATGTAGATAAATATTTACTTTTAATTACGATGCTTTGAAATCAGCTGTTACGGAGGGACATTTTATAAATGCCATCTCATTGCTCTCAGGCAAGGAAGTATAGGACTGACTATAGAAACTATCAAATGGGGAACGGAAACAGAGCAATATTTAAATAGGATAGCAAAAGGAGGATCTAAAGAATGATACACTTGCTTCTATCTGAATGCTAAAACTTTAATAAACAAGACAGGGACCTGGAAAGGCTATCTTTAAATGAAGACACCAGTGCGACAGGCATATTGGTAACTGTCTAGAAAAAATATAACTGATGGGACATGGTAATACTAGGGTACAGAGCACAGAGGAAAACAAAAAGTAGATTAGATTGATGGTACTTTTATAAATTAAAAAACTCTAGTGTCATGCTTTTTCTAGGTATCTGTTTTTAATAAACTGCTCATTGTACTGACTAGGTGGATGTTCAGTCTGACCCAGCACAACCGCTCCTAGGCTCCTGTACACTCCGGAGCCATCGTTTTGCTTTGCACATTCCTGGAATGCCTGCTGGAAAGCAGTGGGACTGTGGAGTCACACACACAGGCTCTGATGGAGCCCATTGTCCGGCCTAAAAGTGCTACCAGGGAGAAAATGCTATCAAATATTGTTATTCGTAGAGCAGCAAAGTTAAGCAGGCAGTGGTAAGCATATTTATGAGCCACGCATTATCTTCCCAAGCCAGGAATAAAATCTCCTGGGGAAGAGGACAGCAATGCTGACCAAGTATTCACACAGCAGTTTCATTCCCTGAATTACCACGTGAGGAACCTACCTGAAGCTACCTTGGCGAAACCAGAACTCCTACCCAAGAGCAGCCCTTCGTCTGCGGAGACACCTGAGCACTGCTCTCTGCAAGATTGCTGCTGGCCAGGAGCTAATCGCTCCGGGAATGGTAGCGCAGCCTGCAGAGCACGTGGTAGTGGGCTTTGCTGTCAGACTAGGCTATTCTCCATTACACGGGTCTTAGGACTGGTACATGCATCGAAAGTTAAATAGAATGTGTGCCTCACTGGGAAAAACATGCTTCACAGGAGGCCTTAACATGCATAGTCAGAAAGGAATATTTTTTGTGGGGTACTTTGGATATCAAGAGTTTCTTATGAAAGACCTGGTCTTTTAGCAAATTGGGCTCTCGGTTATCATGTAATATCACGTCTTTTCAAATTTGATGTTCTTTTAATGTGGATTTCTCAGCTAATAATCAGAGAATATAAATATCAGAGAATCTAAAATTAAATATATAAATAAATATAAAATATAAAATAACACAGAAATGTTAAATCCAGGCGAGCCACATGACTGAGACACCACTTAACTTTTCTTAACAAGCCACACTTACTCTTCAAACTACACTCCTTGATTAACTCATTTTTTTCATATTACTCACTAATCCATAACATTTCTACGTTCTCTGTTTTCCTCTTAAACTAGATAAAAGTTTTTATACAAGAGCAAGATATTTTAACAGCATAAAATATTTACAGTTTGACGTCTTCACTCTTACCTTGTGAAGATTTGAAACAACATCGTAATGACCAGACCAGCTATGGACAATCCAATACCAATGTAAGAGATGTACTCCAAAGGCTTTGCATATTTATATTTGATCTGGAAGGTCTAGAAAACAATTCATATCAGTTATAAGATGAGCAGAGGTAGTTCTCCTTCTAAAATTGAAGTTGCACATTGAAATGAAAATGTTTTTGTAAGCTTATAACTGTCGCTTGCCATTGCCAAAATTTTTAGACAACACAGAAATACTCTGGAAGGAAGGGAAGGCTTCATGTAGAGAAGAAATACATGCATACAGAAAAATAAATGTCAGAGAGGCAGTCATTCCTAAATAGTTGTGCACAAGAGGGAAGTATATAAAGCAAAATGATAGCAGACTTCATATTTACAGAGTAATTACTTTTTATAAACATATAAGTAAATAGTGCTGAGTGCTTTGAGTCGTTTACTCAATTAGTGCCACATAGATAGCTGAGCTGAGCTGAGCTAATCCAGGCACTAGTCACTATATTGTTGGTCTCAGGGCACTTTTGGTTTTAGGCACACATTAATTTAACAACCAGCTGCAGCAATTTAGGTGCAGTGCCAGAGGCTACCACAGCTGAGCAAGGGGAATGAGTTGTGTGAGCACTTCCTCACTGCTGGGGTGCAAGGTTGGGTGGGTTTAGCTACCATTTGTGTCAGAGAAAACCAGAACTTTCAGCATCCTGGGGAACTCCTGCATGTCCCAGTTTTGTCCCGTTTACCAGCTCTCACCTAGGTCATCTGAAAAGCCATAAGAGAACATAAGGAAATGTCACAGGGGTTGTCTTAAATGACTGCGTCTTCTAGCTCTGTGAATGCACAGCAAAGATCTTCTATTGGTATTCTGGTCTTATAAATCAAAGCACAATTGGAAAGAAAAATAAACCCAGGTTAATACTGTTCAAGAAGGAACGGTGCCCTACCATCAGGACAGCAAAATTAGTCGTGTGGTTGCACTTGCATCTCAAGAATTGGTCTCTTCCTTTTGTACAGCCTATGGTACTCCAGTCATTGATGGCATAGTCCCAAAAGACACAGGCATGATCACGCAGCTGGAGCTCCGATGTGTTGTACTGCGGATTGGGATTACAAGGAGAAAGCGTGGTTGAAGAAGCATAAACAGATGTGCAGCAGTAAGCAGCAGGTACTGCTAGGTATCCTCCGAAAGGGGAGCTGAACCTACTAAAGAGTTTATGGCAATTCCAGTAAAGTTTGTGAAGAATATTAGTAATGGCATATTTTGGCTTTGTGAGCTTACGTTGCAGGTCCACTCTCAAAGTTGTCAGTCTTTTTGAATTACTCAGATAATTATGGCATGTCCACTAGGCACTCAACGAGTGCCAGATAAATTTTGCATAAGCCAAACATCAGTTTTCAGATACTAATAGCATTAAATTACTGCCAACTGGAGCCAAAGTGGAACTGGAAAGCAAACAGTTGCAAAATCCAGAGCCAAGTCTGTGAACCATCCCATTCCCTCCTCCAGCACGGCTTTGCTAGCACAGTTGTATCAAGCTGCACGCTGCTTTTTTCACAATAAACTTCTGTAGGCAATTGCAATTAGAGCTGCATTTTAAAAAGCAACAAACCCTATAAAATGTGCACATTAATAGGGAAAGCCCTATTATCTGCAATAGTAGGTAGCTCAGTTAAAAATTTATAGCTAAAAATAGGAATAAATAAATTAATTATAGGCTTATTTCAGTGATAGCCATGCAAATAACTCTCCTTTCTCAGATCACTCAATTGCATAGATCCTTCAGGATGATTATTAGTCTGTCACATGCACACGTTTGGGCCTAAATATCTCTGTCAAGTGAGTTAAGCACTGTAAGAATTCAGATATCGTTTTCTGAAGAAACATGCTAAAAAAAACCAACATATCTCATCTCAAAATTCATCTATTACAGGCAAGTGGAGACTCACATAGGACATTTTCTGAAAAAAAAAACAGTAACATCTGAAATAAATTCCCAGGGGGAAGAAGCAAAAGTAAAATGCACATTGATTTTAAGGAAAGAGGGAGTTAAGAGACAGTATGAAAAATTAATGCTCCCCAGGAGGCTTAACTTGTTGGTCTCCGGCATTCGTGTAATCTTTTGCTTGTTTCCCAAACTGTCAAGAGTCTCCTGAAAAGAAAAATTGTTTTCCAGATACCTGTCTCTTTTCATTCTTGATTTTGAGCAAAGCTACTCGAGCATAGCTATCACTTTTTACAAAATACAGTTTTGCTTGCAAAATTCCTTGCTTATTAGTACAGAAATGATAATACCAGATGTTAAATACACAAGTTGAAAAATATTTTCTAAGCAACATTATCGAAATGTGCTTTTTGACTTTCGAGGTCATGTAAGCACCCCTCACGCTCCCCAAGCTGCTCACTGCCAGAAATCAAGGGGTCATACCAAAGATACCTCCCTGCTTGAGTCTCTTTGTACAAATATTGAAGACTGGCAGTAGGACTAGGTCAACCTCTGGTCGTTCTTGTGAGAAATTACCTTTGGGCTGAAGGCTAGTTCAACGCCACTGGTTCTTCCACCGTCAATGTTGCCAGAGACAATTCGTTTAGAAAAACTACCATGGCTCTTATAAATCCTCGACTTGAAGAATTTGCTGTTTTGATACAGGAAAAAACCCGCTCTTCCGCTGTCTGACGCACCTTCGCTAGGCAAACACAAAAGTAGGTACGGATGTCAGAGGAGCTGGGGCCTTCCAAGCAGCCTACATCATACTACTTCACACATGCAGGATTTACAGCAGATTTTTTTAGATATTTCTTTAGAGTCCATTTAAAATCTAGCAAGGAGCTTCTTTTCCCATTAATCTCAAAAGATTCATCTTCTTCTTTTTTTGCTGAGGTGGAGTGTTAAAATAATCATTTCTCCTCTTGTAATTCCTCAAGAAAAAAGCTCTGGCAGTGAGAGGAAAATAATATCCCATAACCAGATATGTACACAAGTTCCATATGTCCAGGATTTTAATAGCACCAAAGAAGAAACAGTAACAGCGGGACCAAGTTACTGGGAACTCAGAGGTTCAAAGATGCTGACTGAGCTCCTCCTTTTTGGACCCCACTGCTGGACTTTGTTTCTTTTGTGGCACTGTTTTACCGAGCTAGAGATTTTTTTTAAGTGATTTAAATCACTAGTCTTAATTGTGGCTTAAAGCAGGAAACAAAAATCCTGATTTAAATAACTAATTGTATTCTTGGTTTTACTTTGGTATTTTCAGTTTTCATCAAGAGAGCTTGAGTACAGTAAATTTATACCAGCAAAATGTTCCAGTTGTGCATTTGAATACATCTGTTTCTTGAAAAGACAAGCTGTGTATTCAATCTGTCTCTCATGAAGAAAGAGTTATGACATGGAGGCTTTATAGTAAAGACTATAATTACATGATCACACTGTTTTTCCACAGGATTATCATCTGTAACAGTCTACAGAACCAACACTAAGCATTTATACGCCGTCAGTAATGATGGTTTAGTGCTATTATGGTGCTATACAAAGAGTTTAAGGACAAGACTTCTCCTTTCAGGTACCCAGGATGAAATTCCTACCATTTTTAATGGAAATGCACTCGATCAAAGCTCGGCTCCCTGGGACTGTAGTTGCAGCTGTGCATAATTAGCACTTAGCAAATCAGGCACCAGGGACAAAACTGGACATGCAGGAAAGAAAGCCGGTATAACTCGCAACTGTGAACTAAGCATTTGGTGAGACTCTGTGGGTTTGAAAGAACTTTCAAAGAAACAACACAAGATCAGTGGCTAGCAAAAAGGCGCATCCAGTCCAGCATTCAAGACCCTGCTCCACAACAAAAGGCTGCATTTCAGGTTTTTGTAAAATAAGTTCACCAGCATTTGTTTTGCATTGAGACATTGGGCCTGAAAGTTTCAAAGATTATTTACCTGAAGACAAATAGGGAAAATTTCAGCCTTCACAATTAAAGTGTAGGTCAGCAAAAGCAGAGTCTTAAAAGAAGTACCAGACAATTTTAACAACGGTGCTACCAACTACACAGGCATTTCTGCAGCTCCTGGTGGTTTAGTGGCACCAGCCACAGGAGACAGCCAAAGCTGTGTGGTGACTGGGTGTGTGACTGGCGAGCCTTGCTGCAGCAGACGCAGCACGGCCACCTTCACAGTCTGCAGAGAAGGAAAATTAGTGGCAATTTGCCAAGAAACGGTTGACATCCTTGGATTTCAGGGAAAGCATATATGCAGTAGCTTTTCATAGTAATCCCACAGAGACATAGCTCAAGAGCCATTATATTCTGAACAAAAAAAAAAAAAAAAAAAAAAAAGTGAAAGATTCTCAAAGGCCAAAGGCTTTTGGGCCATGTTACACACATACAAGTATTAATCTATAAATAAGGTAATCCAGTTCAGTGGATATGTACATTTCTTGCCTCATCATACGACACCAGCATGCATTAAAAAACAAAATGTAATTCTTTATATTTGCTCAGAATTTTTCTTTAGACAATATTCATTCAAAGATTTTCCCCATTCCAGTTCTCAGTAAAGGAAAGGACTTACTATTATTCATAATGTTCAGCAGTATCTGAACTTCAGTATTGAGATCTTCACTAAGACCAGGGACATTCTGTTGTACTTCCAGTTTTGTTGACAGTAAATATCCCAATTCTGTATCTACAAGAATTATTAGCGGATACATCAGAATTTATGGTACATAGCATGTTGTCCACTTAAATCCAACAAGATCCATAAGCTTACCTTTCTGTGCAGAAAACAGAATGCTAGCTGAGTTTAACTTCAGTGGGACTGACTGGATGGCAATGTTGGACTGAGTGATGTTACTGGTCAAGGAAAATTCTTCCATTGTTCTTGTGAGGCTGCCGTGAAATAGAGAGTAAGAAAAAACCCTCTTTCTGCTGCACCTGAGGTCCCCAGAAACATTATTTTTGGCATCCTCAGTAGCAGAATTTGGTCTAAACTGCAGCTGGGACAGGGATATAGTGAAATCTCACATATTGTGAAATCGTAATAGCTCACTGGTGGGAAAGTGAGCTAAGTGGGAAATTTCTTCTAACAAATACGGTAAGCACACAGAATTCTTCATGGAGAGAGTATGTTATAGCTTTCTCCTTCCATTTGCCCTAATAGTACTTCTCACTCTCTGAAATGAAATGAAAATGCTGCATGTGTTTTTATACATACTGTGTTCTCCCAGTGTCCCAGCAGGCAAGTGGGACCAGCCTGTAAACTATAACATGTCTGCAGGCAGTGGCATGCTACATTAAATGATTTCAGCAAATGGTTGGAGCCATTTGATGACCAAGCAGAGACCTAACTCCAGAAGCCCCCACTTCTCATTCCCTATCCTCCTCTTTTTCTTCCAAAGTAGAATTTTTCCCTGGGAGATGGAGACCGAAAACTTTTTGGCTGATTTGTGAACCACTTCTATATTGAAATGGAAAGTCAAATGCAGTTTACTACATTTATTAAAAAAGGTAAAATCTAATGTTACCTTGCTGTAACGTCACTGAGATTATTGTGGTTAAATTCTGTTTCATTGGCATCCAGGAGTTGACTCACTGTAGCCATTACTGATGCAGATACCTGAGACGAGCAAAAAAAAAAAAAAAAAAAGTTAATATTCAATAACGAATTCAATAAATGATCTCAAGTTCTACACAGTGATTCAGCATGGTAAGACCCCATAATCACACTGGAATAAACGAAGTAAAAGATGTCATTTGAGAGAATACAAACTTTGAGCCAATGAGTTTATAATACCTTGATTTTATTAATTTAGAAAGTAAAGATTAAATGATGAACAGCAAACAATGATAGCAGTAGAATTTCACATATACACAAAGCAAGAGAGGTGAATGGAAACAGCTGTGATTCCACAAATATGCACTCAGGTCCACTATTGAATAACTCATCTTACCACCAAATGAATGCATTTTGCTACGTTATTAGGTAAAGTTAACAGGAACTGCTTTGAAGAGTGTTCCTTCTGCTTGCGGAGTGGAGGGCAGAATCAATAGCCAAATCACAAAGTTGTAAAAATCTTACTTTAATCTTAGTAAAGACTCACCTGAGAGTCTGTTGAAATATTTGGCTTTCTCAAGATGTTCACTGCAATATTAGCAGCAGTCGAAATACTCTGTGTGGTCAGTTGGTCTGGCATGGAAGTAAGGATCTGAGTGCTACTTGCAATAGCTGAAATGTTGCTGAAGTCTGCAGTTTCAACCTTTTAGAAAATTGTCAAGAAAATGAAAAACAGTTGACAACTTCATAATACTCTCACATAAAATCAAATTAGAGAGGAAACTGGTCATCTAAACTGTTGCAGTCCACATGAAGCAAACAGAGTTTGCTTGGAGGACTACTTGTTGTATTGGAAGAGCCATTGGAAGATGACAGTTTTTTCCTTATCTAATTGAGATTTCCCAAGTTGCAGCTTGTACCCATTGCCTCTCATGGCAAACCCGTGCACCATGGAGAAGACCCTGCCTTCCCCCTAGGCAGCTGTAAGATGTCGCCTCAGCCTACTTGTCTTGACTGCACTTCTGGATCCCTAAGCTTCAGGAGACCATTCACTATCCCTGAAGAAAGCAGCACTACTTTGTTGAAAAGCCATTAGAGTAATTAAGAAATATTATACGGAATAAATTAGCTCTTTTTAGTACAGTGTTCACAAACTGCACTGGGAATATTAGTCTCCCTTCCATACACCGTGTATAGTGTCAAATTGTAGAAAACAGAAATGAAATATTCAAGTGCTGGAGGCAGAGAGGATAACTGGTAGAAGCTCTGGATGGGTGCAGTTATCACTTAATGGGTACAGCATATATGTGTGCAATATTTTAAGAACTCAAACACAAAAAATAAAATGATGAGGAGTTATCTCTATGTGACATGAAGGAATAGCTAAGTAACAGAAACACTTAAAGAAAATTTGCTAAAGATGAGATGTTATGGAGATGAACAAAGCTGTTTTCTAATCCACTGATACACTCAATGGATAGCTTAAACAACTGAATTCTTCCCAAATTGTTAATATTGGGAAAATATCAAAATCAAGATTAATTCAGTCATTAGCAAATGAAGTGTTTTGAAATCTCTGAGTGACAGGAAAGGTGAATGTGTTGTGTAGAGAGGAAAGAGTTTTGCAGTTATTGTAACTGGAGTTGTATGATTTGACTGGAAAACATCTGTATGTGCCCCATGAAGATGCAGTGCATTGTCAGCACCTGGGTTCACTAGTCTAATTTCTGACTTGTGGCCTCACCTTGTTTTCTGAGTACATATTTGTACTCACAGGAACAAAATTCTTCTAAAGGTGCACATTCTTGATTACTAGCATATAGGCATTTTCCTCAGATATCCCAATACTCACCTTTGTAAGAATCGAGTTCACTAGATGGCAGTACAACATCAAAAATTATAACAAACAAAAAATATCTAGTAGCAGCAAATGAATTTTCAACTAAATGCTTTTGGTATATTTAGTGAAGGCTCTATACTGGGGAAGTATAGCCTTGATCTTGACTTATCTTAAAGAAAGGTGAAATGTCGGGTTGAAGGTGACAATATTCATGCAGAAAAAAAGCAGAAAAAGAAAAAAGCACTCAGAGGAATCAGCTCTGCTCCTTACTTAAAAGGGCTGCAGTGGTTTTATGTTTCTTTATTTTTTTAATAGGGACTAATGCTAAGGAGCAAAAGAGCAGAACTGGAAGATGAGGAACCATCCCTATCTGCCCTGGGTTAACCACACACAGCCCTGCAGGTTTCACAGAGGCTGCAGAGCGAAGCCTTAGAGCGACGGCTGAGTAACTTCTGGGTTTTATCAGGAAGAGCTTGAAGTTCACACAAGAGATTTTGCCTTTGAATTCCAGAGGAACAAAAGTGTCTCATCCTTGGTTAACTAATCACAGTCTGGAACGGAAAGGTTTTGCTCCTAACCCTGCCTGACACATTGGCGTTACCCTCACTTTGTTCCTCATGCCAGCCTTGTCCCAGTGCTGCTGAGAAGGCTTCGGTGGTTAATTTTTCTTGATGCAAAGTTTTAAGTAGTGTGGATAGCTTACCATCCCTAAACAGAAAAACACCACATACGGTAAGTGCTGCCTCAGTTACATAATGATTTTTTTTTCTTTCTTTCATTTGATGCTGCAGGATGACAGCCACTGTTTAAACAGTATGTCGAGATGGAACTTAAGATTACCTGTGATGCTAGAGAGTCCAGATTTTCATAGCAATTCAGAACATGGGGGCGTTGTAAAGTAGGAATTGTTCCCACCCTGGTGCACATCCGGATTGCTATTGAACGGTTGCCTGTAATTTCATAAAAGCAAAAAGATCTGAATTTAGCACAGAAGGCCTAAATGACCTGCACACTGGGACATGACACCCTGGTAACCAGTGTTATCCACATGTGTGTCAGCATTACAGGTGACTGACCATCCGTTATTTAACTGATTAACAGTTGTTCTTCTTAGATGTATTATAAACATATATGCGTGTGTATATATATATATGCTGTTCTGGTCTTAAGCAGGGACCTCGCATCTCCTGATGTAATCATCAGATGTCTTTCTCAAACCTTATATTTACTTTGGGTAAGGAAAAGAGAACGGAAAGAAATACATACCATTCACAGTGTCAGGTTCACATTTTTCCGCAGAATGGCTGTATCTGCCCACTACAATCCGTGGAAAGGTAAAGTTTTTTAAAAGGCCTCCAGCAGTGCTTTCGGTGTAAACACTGGCTTCACAGAAATTAACTGCACAGAAGGAAAGAGCATTTATCCTGATCAAGTGGAGCAATTTTCAAAAGCAAAATATAGCTCATGTCACACTATTCTATAATAACATCAGCTTCATTTGCTGTGTTACAAATGCTGGGTTTGAAAAAAAAAAAAACATTATCAGGACTGTTCCTGAGTATTTTCTTCTCCTTATCATGCTTGGAAATAGACTCTAAGAGAATGTGCTCTGTGACATTTCCAGGGCCTGAGTTGAGCCTGACCACCTTACAATTTTCCTGGTCCTCCTCTCCTCCTTGTTTTTCTTGAAGTTAGGCACAGTGTCGGCCCTTTTTTAGTTATCTATGACCTCCCCTGATCACTGTGGTCTTTCACAGGTGACACACAGTAATCCTACAGTAACATCAGCTGAGTTTTTCAGCACTCTTACATGAGTCCCATCTAGACCCATAGATGTGAATAGTTTGGTGGTGATGCTGGCTTCCTTCTGACAGACAAAAAACAGAATAAATTGCTACATTAATGCATGGGCGTGTATGCATCCATACCTGAGCACACATTCAAGATCCAGCTTTTATCTTTCCCATTACTCAAGCTTTCGATGCCCTGAAACGGGGTCAAACCGGCCAGGCACAAGAAACTTGACTCATCTGAAACCAGCACCGAGGACAGAGGGAGCTGAGGATGGGCATTATCCTGCAGGATCCTTAGCTGAGTCCCTTTAACCCTGGCCAAACCTGAGGTAGCCCCTGAGGTCTCGATCACATTTTCAAGATGTTCAAACAGAGGAATTCAAGTAAAGGCCAAACTGGCTAGAAACAGGCCACGGTCAGTTGAAACTCATAATGTCTTTCCCAGACACGCTACTCGCTTGAGGGAACGACAGAAGCAGACAAAGCACTCGGTCTCATCTAGAAGCGTGTAGGGTAGAAGCAAGTAGCAGCACACCAGTGCTTGCGCACCCAGCCCTCCGGAGCAGGTCTAAGGAGAGGGGAGACCCACGGGAGCCCCTTGCAAAGCAGGATTCACAGAAATGGCATCAGCTGCACATGCTACGGTGCTTGTACTGACCCAGCTCGCAGAGCGGGCCCACCCACTCCTCCGGGCAAACACAGGCCCCGTCTTGGCAGATGCCATCGTTGAGGCAAGAGCACGGAGGTGACACGGATCCTGTCGTTTCTGTGTAAATAAAGAAACAGAAGAAAAAAGTGTGTGCTAATAACTATGCATATATTAATTTCCTGAAGGATCGGAGTAAATGGGATGGTGATTTACCTGGAGGCTCAGTTAAAAAGTTTTCCAATCTGAGATCCACAATTTAACCCATGGGCTAAATCACTAGCCCCTTCTTCCCTCTCCCACAAATCGGCTTGAGTGTGGGATCAAAGCTTTCAAAAATTTGTTTTGCATTGCAGGAGTGGTGGCGTGGGACTCTAGTCTGCAAAAGGCTTATGTGGTGAAACTCATAAAAAGTCCCATTTCCTTCTCACAGGCTTTAGAGGGAGCTACAAAGCAAAAGGGGGCCACAGATTATCCAGCACTGAGGGACCTAGACTGATGACAGGCAGGTGGATAATCCCACCTTCCCACAGAGATATTCCAGTTTCAGACAGGTGTTAGAGGATAAAGGAGATTAAAAACCTATGCCCAGTACCAGCTGTAGCTTCTCTTCACACTCCAGGATAGGTGCCAATGGGCTGGTGAACCTCGAGCTCTGGGAGATGGGACCTGGAGGATCCCTAGGGCATAAGGCTTCCTCTGGATTTATCATCTAACCTGTCCCTAGCTGAAAGTATGGAGTCTACAATCCCTCACCATAAGATTCATGGTGGACATTGCATATCTGCAGATTGGGTGTAATTTATGCCTTGAAATGATAGAGTAAACTGAAGCTGAAGGCTGCGGTTAGGCCTGACAGTGCCTGTGTTTTCAGACTCTGGCAAAAAGAGAGAAGCCAGAAGATTAAAAAGTGAACAGTGCTGTCAAGAGCACATGTGCTGATGCCGAGTGCCTAACTTCCCGCTGCCTCACGGGAATATGTAACTGGAAGTCTATTGCAAGCTGCAGGGGCTGTGCTACGTGGCTGGGCTAAGGCTGATCTTGGCAGGTGCTGCTCTGCTTTTGCTCATGTTGTTGCTATTCGGCATTCGTATTTCGGACTGTCTCGGCTACGTGACAGCCAGATGTCTAAGAGGGCTGTGGAATAACAAACGTCCACGCGCAGCCAGGTGATGTCTCCATTTGCCACCGGCTTTTCCAGACACGTTGTCTCGCCGCTGGAAACCTTACAAAAAAAGGGAGGAAATGTCTCATGAAGCAATTGAGATCGTGGTGGCCCAACCTAGGCAGCTGCAGGGAATGGCTATAATGGGGGAACAGCAAAACAAGTATAAGAAAATGGAAAAGTGAAAATAAATAAAAATAAATAAAATTGGGATAGACGCTCCAGATGTGAATCACCCCATTTTAAAGCAAGAAGGCAGAAAAGCACAATGCTGTGAGGTAGAAACCAAAAGATCCAAGCATTGATGTTATTAACAAACTGTGAGGGCCTGCACTTGCAGAAAACACAGGCATCGGCAACAACTACATGGAGATGTAACTGCCATTTTGATGGGATTTAGGACCATAAAGAAAACAGAGTTCAAGGCACATTCTTATATTCACAGAGGTAGGCTATTACTGACATAAGCTAAACAGCTAGTGTTTACTTATGTGCCATTTCTCATGCTTAGTTATGTTCCCTCCCCACCAACTTCTGATAAATCAAGTCAATATATCCTCACGTTTCCTCATGTGGGCATCTCCCAGGACTTCAAAGCCCCTGATCGTATTCAACCTCCTACTTGAAGAGTGCCAAGAAACATCTGATTCTTTCTATGAATTTTGAGTTGGAGTTCATATGTATGTCTTGTATCATGTCAATGCATCAAGTATTTTGCTGAGAAGAAATCCCATCAAGTTTTCTGCTCCAAGCTTGTGCACATAAAGCTCTTACAATTCTGCCATTCAGGTATATAATATGCAAACCACACACATATATCTCCTATATTTTATCAACAGTTTTCCATAATATAATAAAACATTGAATAGGTCCTGCATATATACTATACTAAATATAGGTATATACTAAATATTTACCCTGCAGAGCTAAATATTTACCCTTCAAGACATAATTTATCCAACTAGCTTGACATTTAGTTATGTTTTTGATAAGTAATTTGAATCCCAACCAGAAGTGTGAGAAACATCCCAGACATTTCTCTAAAGACGTATCAGAGGAGTCATGTATAGTGAAACACATTACAAGGAAAATACTCTAGAGCCTGAGTGTCAGTCTATTCTGTTTTCCAACAAAATACATAATTTGTAGGACTTTAAACATTGGTGTGAGAGGAAGGATTTTTCTACCAAAGAAGCCTTAGGCCCTGAGGGGTCTACCTGTAATCTTGTTTAAAAAAGTAGAAGAAAAAGAAGGAAAAGACAAAATCCCAAGGAGCTCAAATAGAGCTCAAATGGAACAAAATTATATTTGTTACCTGTCTTGAACCTGGTAACAAGCTGCCAAATACACAATGTCCAAAGGGTCACGGTCACTGCACAGCAGGTGAGCCCAACTAGTACCCTTCTGTTCCAGCGGAGCAGAGGCATGTTGTGGGGCAGGCAGAGTCTGCTCTGTCATAAAATGGTTTTATACTTTGATATCCTTGTGACGGATAAGCCATTAACTTCCTATCTGCTGCTAGAACTTTAACCTCTTCTGTTCCTTTAAAAATAAGTTTCACTAGAGAAGTAAATCACGATAATTTCTGTATTTTTTTTCCACCTGATAAAACCTTCCACTTTTCAAAGCATTAAGTCTCATGTCTCCTATGTGCTACAGGGAAATGGTGCAGAGCAGAGCCCTGGCTACATTAATACTCAAAACATGACCAGGGCCTGAGGGTCTGAGCCCAGTCTCTGCGTGCGCAACACAACTCATGGCCATGCCATCTTGCCCCTCTTCCTTCCAAGTGGGGTACCCCCACATATATCGTATATGTTGGATCTATTCTATATACTGCAGCAGTGAGGACAGGAAGGGAAAAAAAAAGAGGCTGTGGAAGGCTGAGAGCCAACTTTCCCATGCAGTACAAGATAGTAATAGTCCTGTGGGTGCTAACAGTATTAAGACTGGCCTAGATTAGGCTCTTGGCACCTACTTTCAGAAGAGGATATGGGACTTCCATGCTATGTAATACGGACAGGCAAAGCAAAGGGGGAGGCAGGGAGAGACCAAGGTTTGGGTGAAATCCACTGTGTTCCTGGTCGAAGAGCCTTATTGCCCCTTTCTGTCCATCTCTGCTGTGAAGCTTGGTCACTCAGCAGGATGCTGCTACAACTGGGGACAAAAGCTCTGTCTTCAGGTGCCCGCGCCATCTGCTCCACCCAAAGAGAATCGGAGGACAAAATGATGGGAGAAAAGAGAAAATAGGCAAAAGACACCAGTAAAATATGAAGCAGAAAGGAAAGTTGTAACTCTAAATTTCTCTCAAAAATAGTATCTTTTTCTGCTAACATGTCTCCTTCTGACAAACTAAAGAACTAGGAAATCAATTTTGCGTTCAAGATCAAGAGAGACAGAAAAAAGAGATATTTAAAGAACTAGCTGGAATAAAGAGCCAATACCTTGCTCTGGCATAGTGTTCTCCATTGATGCCTCTTAGCAAGGAAAGATGTGTACTTGGCTTTTGCAATTACAGAAGCATTTCTATCCCCAGTGAGACTCAAAATCTGAAGTGATCTATGAAGGACATTCAGAAATCCACAGTGAAAAAAAGGGTTCGTGTCTTTTGAGCTGTAGCACCCAGCTAGGTGCTGCTGTTTCTTTAACATATTACTGAACATTAACACTACTTTTTTTCTCTCGTTGAAAAAAAAAAAAAAAAATCTGAGCATGATAAAGCAGGCCATTAGCGTCCTTGGTTTTGACCTGGGAAACAGACTTAAGACTTCAAAATCAAAAAATCAATACTTGAAAGTACCAAGTATCTAATTAGTAGCAAACAAGACACTCCACACTAAGGAAATGCAGCAATAATTAAGATCTAAGCATTTACAAATGGGACCTCTAAAACTGTTATTACGCCTCTCCAGACACCCAAATGATTTAAAATCCGGCTCACAGAGGTTTTAGTTAATGAAAGGCTGTGCTGTCGGTGACAGTGACAGTGATGGGGACAAACCTGCAGCTCCATTAGAGCATCTGCCAGCCCAAAAGAAAGAGCAATAGGAAGAAGTCCCCTGATATGGGGGAGCAGTTTGAAGCTTTTACCTCCACAGAGGGCATCCAGGGACCCCAGCAGCCAGAGCGCCGCAGGTCCTGGCACCCCTGCTCTTTCAGAAGGGTCGAGGGGGTCCCCCGGGGTCCCCCGGCTGCAGCGGAGCAGCCGCCACGTCCTGCTGGAGAGCAGCTGTGGCCTCCTCCTCCTGGTTATCGCGGGGGTTTAGTGCCCTTGTGCGTTTTAATTGCTTCGAAGCCTGTTGAGATAAGTGGTTAAATATTTGACATTCCAGGATTAGAAGAGGTAGGAGTTTAAACGTGGATCTATGAGACATCCAGGAAGACATAGGAAAACCAGGGAGAGGGACACTCATGGCAATGCAGGCTCCGGACTTGGTCTTACAGATGGGGAAACTGAGTCACAGACCAGTTTAGCAACATTAAGTTAAGCAATATCGCACAAAGTCTGACTATAAGGGCATATTAGAAGCATAACCAAGTTCTGAATAACAGGTCTAATTTTCTAGTGTCCTATCATGGTAGAAAAGCTGCTAGATAGTAAGTGGTGAATGTGTTCTTGCATTACTTTATACATAAAATACTGTGATTCCCCAAACTTGGGTTATGGTCCCAGGACTGCAAATGGCAGAGGGTTTGTAACCTCGGAAAGAGCAAAGGAAATAGGACTGTGAGTGAAAAAAAGATTAGGAATTTCTAACTTCACATGAACATATTGCATAAATCTTAAAGAAGCATAAGGAGACATGTGGGAAAACCCAAACAAATCAATTAGTATACACTGAAGAATGGTACATTTGTAATTATGAAACTATTAAACCATGTTTATGTGATAAAATTATCAAGCTGAAAGCAAACCTCATTACTTGTAAAACTGTATGTGCAGTGCAGCTGTGGGAAAGGAAAACGGCTCTTGAGTGACTAAATATGTTTCTTCAGCTTTTCTCCATTTCTTTTGAGCCATAATTGGAGCCAGATGTTTCTTATTTCCTTTCTGTTTTGTTTTCGAGTCTGGATAAGATGGATTGGCAGCAGTAAACACCATCTCCGAGATTTTTTCATATGTCAACTGCATCTGGCTGAGCTGGAGTTACAAACAAGTAGAATTCCAGCAAAGCGGTGCAAGCTCTGCTGGAATGTTACTGTCATATATTTCCGGAGCAGGGAATCTGCATGATGGTTTCTGGGACTGCCACACAGGGCCCAGAAAAATCCCAGAGAGTATCTTTGTATCTATTAAACAGTGCTATAGCTAGACTGGAACATTTTATATAGTAACGACAGCTTCTCCTCCCTTCAGTCTTGTAGTCTTAGGAGTGACTTCTAGTTCTTCTAGTTGCTAATTGCTTTTCTGTTGTATGGATTGCATTTATAGAAGTAGCCTCTTTCCGATTTCTTCATTCTGCTCAGAGGTTTAAATTCCTGCTCCAACTACATGCCTCACTGTGACCTCAGCCTCTTTGGTACCACTATTCCTTGCAGAATATTTTGAGGTGAGAAAATAGCCCTTCATGCAAAAGCTCTGTTTCTGAATCAAACTACAAAGCGCGCAGTAGCACAAAGTTGTCCAAATAGTTTTTTAAATGCATTTTCATTCTAAGAAGTATACTCAATATCTTACAGAGATGCATGAATGTAACAATCCCATAATAAGGTGTTAAAAATTACTGCTCTGAAAAAAAAGAGATTAGTTATGTCTTATTGAACAAGTATTAGTCTTCTTTACTAACACATATTTTGAGCAAGCATATATTTGACCCAGATAGATTTGAAAGTCAAAAGCCCAGCCATTTTCCAGTCCTCTCCTTTTCCCACTAAGCAGACGTGCTGCTGTTGCGCAGTCCGTGGGAGTCCTTGGATTCAGGCTACTTTCCACTAGTACGCAGACTGAAGAACTTTAGGGGATTAAAAAAAGCTCCTGTTTTCTTCCACCGACGTTTTTATGAGTAGCTCCTACCCTAAGCGTTGTGCCTGTCACCTGTCACCGGCTGTTCCTTGTCATGAAACATGAGAGTAAAGGGTCACCCTGGTGACATGCCTGGGGCTAAGTGGCCCTAGCCCCAAGCCCAGGGTATATGAAAACATTGGCACGTTTGGTTTTCTAATGCAAACTAGTTGATTCCCCAATTGATTTACTTAAAGCTCTTTTTAGCTCTTTAGAATTTCTTACTGGATATTTTAAGTCTTCTGCAATTCCTTCAGATTTTGTGAACATAAAGATGATATAAGAAAGTAGTAAATGCTGACTTCCTTACTCAGTCCTGGAGAAATTTGAAAGTTTTCTTACGTACATGGAGGTAAAAGCCACTTGAAGTTCTCTAGAACTAAAAAAAGAAACACCTGTAAAATATGTAGCAAAGTAGTATCAAATTGATGGAAGAATGAAAGCAAGTTATAATCTCCAATGAATAATAAATTTATCTACCAAAACATATTTTGAGAGAAGCCAAAATTGCTTGCAAATTTTTTCCAAGCACAGACCCCTAGTATTAATTTTTAAAAAGTGGTGCAAAATCTGGAGAGAGAAAAACCCACCTTTATAAACACTTTTTTTTCCCAAAAACTTTAGTTCCAGAATGCATTTTTCACCTTTTATCTGAAAAAAGTTTTTTTTCTTTCTTTCTTTAAAGGGAAAAGAGAGCAAAGTTAAATAGGTCAAAACAATCCTAAGTATTTTTATTATCAAGTTTGCTCAAACAGAAGAATTCACAGTTCACACAGTCCTACTCACCTGCGTTGCTGACTGCCTCATGTCTATGGAACAGGAGAACAGACCCACATCTGGATCCCCTTTGCTCCTAGCATTTAACTTTTGTGACTCTGTGAAGATCTACTGTCCAAACCTCTAGAATTTTTGTCTATATGGTAAGTGACAGCACAAAAGAAATTTGCCAAGACAGAATTAGTTTTCCTAAATTCCTCTCCCAACTAGTTCAATTGTCCAGGTTGGCCATAAGGCTCCTGCTTCACCCTGCCCCATAGATGATCACATTTTTCCCCTGAAAACACAACAGACATCTTAGATGAATAAACCATTTTTATTTAAATAAAGTTACAGGCATATCTTTTCTATTATTAACTACCATATAGGTTTTTTTTAAAGGCACCAATATTTAACAATAATTTAAGTTTTCTTGAGAGCAGCTACCCTTTTCTGAGTGGCGTTTGTAAACTCATTAAACTTCCACCCACTCACGAAATTCAAACAAAATCTGTTGCTAGTGGAACAACAAAGATCACAACTTTTTAACCGCAACAGCTACCTTAGTGTTCTAGACCCCTCTTTTGAGCAATGCTTGAAAAGGAGTCAAACGTTCTACCTAACAAATAACCACTCCTTACATGGATTGCTTCTCTTTTTATATGCTAACAAAAATATACTAAGCTGAGAAACCCACCTTAACTTATACTCTACATGTAGTGTAAACATTAGAAGTTAAATCTAGGAAACTGCTGTTTCTGTACGACATCAGGATCTGTTTTGACCTGCATTTCTCGAAGCCTCAGAATATTCCTAACCCCTGCACTGATATAAAGAGTTGCTTCTTTTAAGTATAAGCCTTCGTCATTGAAATTCATTATAAGTGTCTTTGCCACTCATAGTAGCCAGCAAAGTGAGTCTGATAGGCTTATTCCTCCAGTTCCCTGACAATCTGCGGGAGATCTGCCAAAAGCAGGGGTAGGGAGATGCAGATGATACCGCTCAGCAAGCTGAACGCTAACCAAGTTCTCTCACAACAAAACACAGACCTACCACCACTGCTGGAACATTGCCGAGCATCAGAATCACAAGGCTGAGAAGGTCGTAGGAGAAATGCTGACAGGTAACCTCTTTTTTGGCCATCAAGTTCTAGTACTGGCACTTTTTGTTTCTAAAAATAGCACTTTTCAAAAGGAGAATTTGCTAAACACCCTCCAAGTTCACTGCTCACTCGAGTTATTTAATCCATGTGGTTTACTTTGCGCTACTGTTTTTGGTGTATCAAGACAAACTTTTATAATAATCCCCAAGTTCTACTAGACGTATAACTACCGTCTTCACTTCATAGCACAGCATAAATTCTATCTATCAAGTATTTTAATGGATAAAAAACTCTGCCCTTTAAAAAAAGCTTACAGAAAAGTGATCTAAAACAAGGAATCATACACAAATAAAAGATTGTAGTTAGGTGTAATAACACACTGCGTTTGGCCAATATATCCCTGCTACTATCAAAAGCCTGGCTCCTTGGAAAAGCAGTGGACATTCCTTCTGGCTTATACCAACAGAAAATCTGATCTTAATGGAACTGCACCAGTGAAACTCAAGTCTTAGATTTTCCAAGTGAAGGAGGTATCATTTATTTCACAGCTTACACTAAGAGCACTGTAAAGCTGAAATGCAGAGCTGCAAAAATCCCCATACTGATACCTAACTCACAGGACTGCCCTGAGACAGATTTTGTTTAAGTTTACCAAAATCTCCGAGACCTCTCGGAGAAAGGTACTAAAGAAGAACAAATAATTATTGAGAGTAATGGTGATCTTTCCTTGGCTATGCATCCGCCATGTCCCATTACACATTTCTAAACAAAGAAATACCTGGGAGTAGACTATTCTCACCTTCAGAATCAGGCTCATCAATATAATCCCACATCTAGTTCCAAGTTTCACTTCATGACACATAGCAAAAATCTGAAGTGTTTTCAAAAATGACAAACTGAAGTCTTCTAAGAAGACATCAAAACTTAGCCATTTCAACATATTTTTCTCCTGCTTGACTTATCCCTTTTGTTAAGAGATAGAGCACCTTACCACTTGTACGCTATTATAAATATATATTCAGAAAAGCAGTGAAGAAACTTGCATGGTTTCTGCCTATGAAGAGCAAAGTACTTTCCTAAGATCTACTTCAGAATAAACAACATCTTTTACTTTAGGAAGGCAGCGATAAAACTGACATTCTAAAAGTTAAGCATTAACAGCACACACAGCTAAGGAAGACTGTCAAAAAAGAGATGAAAAGTAGGTGGGTCCTAGAATTGAGGTGAATGTTTATGTCTTTCAAGTTGAAACAGCATTGATTTTTTCTCTATTTGTCAAGCTTTTTTTTTCTTTCTTTCTTTTTTCCTGCGCTTTTCTTCCTAAGCAATAGGCCTTCTGCAATTGATAATTTTATGCTATCCATTTATCTTGTTTACGCTGAAAAAATATAGATGAAGCTCAAAAGTGAAGAGACCAGATCCTGCAACTCTTGTTCATCCACCAGAGTCCAGTTCTGCATTCCTTTAGGAGCACATGCAGACAATAGCATAATGAGAGAAATGTATTTCTGTAGTACTAAGCTGATAAACTGGTAGCATTTGTACAGAATTTACTGTCTTGTACCAGCATATTTCCAAAAGTAATTAGAAGAAGATAAGGTTTTTACAAGAGATGTTCTGAAAGGGGGGAAGCTACTTTTCCATCACCTTGCTACTGATGGATATACAAAGTGGCCCACTGCCACCAGCATCCCTTCCATGCTCTGTCCTCGGGAAAACAGAGTGTACGTGTTGCTGAACAACAAACGCTCCCTCCTGTCCACAGGCTAATCCATGTCTTTCAAAAGATGCATTTGGAGCTAGGGCTGTATTTCACATGTCCACCTCATGGGGGCAGTGTGCCTATGTACAACATAATTGTCTATTTTTTTTGCCACTTTGTCATCATCTACTTCCCTTTTTTTTTTTTTTTTTTTTTGTACTGTTAAGATTAGAGCATATCCTAGTGACACTGAACTCTACGGAGGAGAGAACCCTGTTTTTCACAGGACTGGGACTTTAGTTTGTCCGTTTGAAAAAAAAAAAGAAATAAAATATTTAAAACTTTTTTTTTTTTTTAAATGCAGGCTCTGCTGCATAGAGTTGCTGTGAATGAAACATCTGCCCTCATTCTGCACACTGCTTAAAACTTACTAGGGAAGGCCTGGGAGAAGGGTGCAAATCCATCTCATCCACCATTCAGTCCAGTTCAGCCTTCCCTGATTATGAGCTGTGTGAGGTCATGTGTGTCTCCCTGAACCCAGCTGAAAATTCACTAAATTCCACTGAAGGAAAGGAAATAATCTTTGTGGTGAGATGCTGATCCCCTAGGCACACATCAGCCTTCCTGGGGAAGAATTTCCCTCGGTATGCCTGGGGGAAGTAGAGCCAATTCATGGCCTTTCAAAGCCAAATTATAGGGAAGAGACAGGAATATGTAGGCACAAGATGAATAATTCTAGTATTTTTTAACTATTATGCACCTCTTTGGTCCTCCTGTAGATGTTTGGTAGCGTCTACGTGAGCATGACCAAACTACCTATCCTTCAAAGAAATGCTGAATGGATCTGTAGTGAGTAGCTCTTTCCATTTAACACAAAGCTACAAGCAAAGACACAAACGTGTTAGAAAAGGCAGATCTAAGACTATCGCTGTCAATGCGGTTCTACCTTTTTAAGGTGTGCACAGGTACTTATGCAGAATGGATTGCAGTTCACCAAAAGCACTTACGTGGACATCTTAATTAGTTCCTCTTATCAGTTCCTCAAAAAGCAGAAGAAAACCATTTTACTTAGCTGTTAATGAGTCTAACTCGCAGACTTGGTAATGCCACTTCATCCAGTCCAAGTCTGTCTAATATTAATCTGTTTTTCCATTGATGTACTTCGTAAGCAAGGTATTGGAATCACCACACATCTAGCTTAACTTCTGCAATAACGATCTAACTATGCAGATGTATACAGTACTCCCAAGGACGATATTTGCATAGCAAGTTGTATAAAGGATGAATAAGATGGTAAAAAAGCCTAGAAATGAGGTAACAACTAGCCTAATAGTAGAGTGGGCAAAGTAGTAAAGTCCCATTCATACTAAATTTCATCTTCGGACTCCTGGTCCCGTTCAGATGTTTTCAGTAACCCCAGCTCCATGGATTGGGACTTTTTAATCTTTGAACGAACTGCCCTGGGAGAAAGAAAAACAAACAAAAAGAGATGCATCAAAAAAACAGGTAGTGACTTAAAGGCAGACCTGGCAATCTGACCTGGTAATAACCTGTATAACTCCTGTATCTCATCAGGTAGTTAGAATGATTCCTTTGTGAAGAAAGATTGCAAGAACTAAATATGGCCAAAGCCTCATTAAGAAGGGATATGAGAATGGTGAGGGTAAAGAATCAAGGTGAGAATCAAATTTAGCACCACGCACAAAAAGGCTTAGTAGGATCCCTCAAACAGAAAGTGATCACCCTTGGTAGAATCAGGCTCCTTTTCCTAATGCAGTCAACTCTACAACTGTGGGTTTTTTTGTGTGTGTGTAAGAATTAACACTGAGTGACATGGAAGACATATTTATTTTTAGAAATAAAGAAATGAAACTGGCTAGTGGAAAAAAATAGGTTTGATCAAGGGAAAGCAACACCCATGAAGCCTGCAAGTTCAAAGTTAAGTGGGGAAACCTGTTGACTAAGTCACTTAGAATCGGTATAGACAAACACAGGAAGATAATATTTTTAAGAAAAAAAGCTCTACTAACTTTTTTAGGCAATTATAGATGTAGAAGACTATCAAAAGAGCTCATTTTATGTGAGAAACATTATGTTGTCAGAAAGGTACTGTATGTATGTTATTTCCCCCTTCTGCTGAAACAGTGAGCTCTGTTCACTAACTACCAATATCTGTTTTTGTTTTATCTTGCAAAAGAGTTAATCATTTTGCGAAACGCTTTTGATTTGTCAGTAAAATCTTTCTGCAGTAAATTTCCTGGTAGATTAAACAGAGAAGTCTCCAAAGTTTTAGTATTTCAAGTAACTTACCAGCTGACAATTGTATAATTCACTGCAAGGATAAGAAAAGCAAAAGCGTAATGCCAGCAATAGCACATTGTCAGAAACATCATATTAGTATGATCCATCTGATTCCACTCTGGGCTCCCATTTGGAGGATAAAGAACAAAGCCAATCTGTAATAAAATAAAAGAAATCATCGCCTGTCATTTATCCAGTACCACATCACATGATTATTTCTGCAATTATTATTGAAAAAAGTTTTGAAATAGTCACATTAGGATGTGATGGACAGTTTTTATGCAGTACTGCAGCAATGCCTTTGAAGATACAGAGCCCGCTCCAGAGGCCTCCTGCTTTTGCTCAATAAATTATCAAACTGACCCAGCAAGTCCTTTGGTGATCAGAACTGTGCACTACAGGGAGAGGGGCTGATACTCAGGCATGTGTGGTCTGAACTGCAGACATACCACCAACAAGAAAACCTGCCCAGTTGTTCATGAGGACTCCCTTCTTCCCAGGAGTGTTACATAGTTCACAAGACCAACAAATTAATAAAAAAGGTAAAAACAAGTTAGTAAGAAAGGCAAGCCCTAGCTATTTCTTCTGGCCAATCCAGAGACAAGATCCATTTTTGAAATTATATAAAAATGTAGCTTGCCTATTCAAGGCTGTTAACTGGTGTGAAGCACAATGGGTATTTGGTTTTCTAGAGCTGGGAAAAATCAAACACATACTACTGTACAAGCCAGGCAGCTAGGAACCAGCATGGCAATTCGGGGCTCTGACTAGGTAAGCACCAGCCTAACACTCTTCAAAGCAATTTTGTTGAGAATTTTGGAGCTGGACATAGGAGAAGAGGAAGAAGGAAGGGAGGAGTGCATTTTGCAGTTACATGCAGAGAATTCAATGAATGAAAGCATTGATGATGCAGAAAAAAAGCCCCTTTACCTTTTACAAATTTGCCAGTATGTGGTTTCCAGTCACACATACAGTCGAAGTATAACGTAGGTGTGAATAAAGCTACACTTAAGTCTGTTGTATTTTTAGCTCTTCATTTTTTTACTTCAAAACATAAAACTCCACATTGTTTCTGGAGTAACTCCACTATTTTGGAGTCAAGTAAAGAAATTACTTGTTTTAAAATTAGACTAGACAGACAATGAAGAATAAATGATTGTGCCTCATTCCTCTATTGTAAAGCTTCTCAAGTCACCACAGAAAAGTTTGCGAACAAGAAAACAAAACACTAAGTGCTGCAGCATTGAGTTCTTTACAGAAAAAAAAAAACTGCAGTTTAGGAGGTCTGTCATCTTGCCAGAGCAAGTATTTAAATATTTGATTTGGGGCTGAGTGTCCAGTTCTCCTAAGGAACAGCGAACGTTTTTATTCATCACGTCTGGCCAGCATATGAAAAAGGAAAGCCCGTCTAGACATGCCGGAAAGCAAAATCACTGGGGTGACTCAGTTTTCCACTATAAGATCAAACATAGTTACGAATACTCCTATTTCTTTGTGACAAGAGAGCATCAACTCATTAAATTCTCTCTCTTGTTCTAACAGTAAAGAACAGATTGCTATCAAATATCAATTGCATTAATCAAACGGAATCACAAATAAACTAAGGCATGACAGCTACATTTTGATGAGTTCTTTTTCATCTCAGATGAGCCATATCTCAGAAATATCGAAGTTTAGACTGTTACTTCTTCTGCTCAAATGCCAGAATACTGTAAAACTAGGAACCTTTGCGCCACCCAGTGTCTTGGTGGCACTCAGGAGCTTGAACACCTCTTGAATATGGTTTTACAAAGTGGAAAGATACCACTAGTTCAGCACATTAAAGATAATTTCCACCTTTGTTCCTCTTTTTGGCAATGTCAATGGGTTGTTTGCCTCGATTTTCCTGCGGTCTGCTGGCATTTACTCACTGCTGCCACTGTTGTGTTGACTGTCTTTGTAAAGAATACTATATATATATACATATGGTGCTGTTAAATCTCTGCTTTTTAGCTTGCAACTTTTGAACCAAATGGTACAGAGATCAAAGGGAATAATTATAGCAAGGGAGAGCTTAGACACCAAACAACCTTAGCTTTTTTACTGATTGAGATAAAAGACGTAAAAAGACTTCTTCATCTGTAAAATGGACATGGTAAATAGTCCTATCTCTTTGAAGGGGTACTAAGAGTCAGTTGTTATCTGTGAGTCCTTTAAGATCTGTGTTGAAAAGACATTTTATATCTCTTGTGAAACATCTGGAAAGAGACAAATGACTAATAGTGGTAAAGGAAGAGACCACTAAGGCAGAAAAGTGACCCACCTGCCAGAACCAGCTACCTTGTAATATGCAGAGGCTTGTACGGAGCATCTCTAGGACAATACTGCCACGGAAGAAAACTTCCAGAAATATGCAAACAGCTGCTCCAAAGATAGCAATTAACAATAACTGATGAACATGAACATCCAGCATGGCTCTCCCATGAAGGTGGTAACAGAAGAGAAAACCTGAAATAAAGTGATCAGATTAAGTGTCATTTCAGAGACCGATGCCTCTATATTTCTGCTCTTGAGGTTACACTGGAAAATGATATGGAAAACTAATCTTTAATTTAAAAGACACAATTACAGAAAGTTTCATGCATCTGTCTGTGGGGCATGACAAGAGGGAGGCTCTGAGACATACTGTGTGTACAGGAAATGTAAATCAAGTATGTCACATCTTCCAACATGCAATTCTTAGGCAGATAAAAGCACCCACAGTGGCTTTCAGATAACAATTTGGGCACCAAATCAGTACATAAGTTGCAGCAAATGCCTTGGATACTGAGCACTAACTCAAAATATACTTGTGCTGCTGCTCACTGAATTTCTGGTGCTATCCTATCTAGCTAGGAAAGCACAGGTACACCTGTGTAATGCATGATCACGTTCCTAGGCTGAACCACAGGCAAATCCTAACAGTTTGAGAAGGGCCTAGATAAATTTTTTTAAAGTATTTTAGGGAGTTAAATACTCAACTCTGACACAAATATGGGCACTCAATCTCTAAGGTTACTTTGAGAATCTCAGCCAAAAGACTCATGCTTCTAAATACAAATAAACCTGATGAGTTTCACAGGGATCTTTGCACAGAGATAGAAACTCACCTTCAATAAAAACTGCTAACGAAAGCATCATTCGGTCCATGGCCACTGGCAACGCGTTCGTCCCATGAGCCACAATGTCAACCAGCCCCGAAATGCCGTAGAAGAGATACATGGTGGCATGCTGCCAGTTCACCAAGTGATCCCAGTGTTTTTCCTCATAATTATACAACTTCAGGTGAGGTCCATCAGGAACAAACTGCTCAGCCACCATTCCTGCAGGTGAAATGAGACCCATTGTTACTTGTCATGATGCTAAAGGTATAAGCTGACAATAAGTATTTACACAAGCAAGAGAGACTACAATATATCCCAAAGCAGAAAAATGCTGGTCATTCTGGACTTTAGTGTGGTTTCTTGAGGGCTGCTCTGGTTGAGTACCGTGTTTTGCTCCCTTCTTCCCATGTGTGCCATTCCCAATAAAGTTTTAAAAATGTTGCACAAACTTAAGTGAATTGAAAAGGAACCGAGGCCTCAGAGATATTAAATTTCTATAAATTTTAAAGATAATAGGTAGTGGCTAGAGGAGAGATTAAGTAAATTTCTGTTCTGAGGGAAAAGCCATAGAGCATATATTAAACACCACATAATGTAGAAAGGAGAAAGCCACAGGAAACCAGGCTTCAGTTCCACTGCTGGCAGAACTATTTGCATCTTAGTTTCCAGCAGTGAAAATGGAGACAGCTATTTTGTGCTGCCTTTTTTTTTTTTTTAAATAACTGCTATTGTGGCAGTCTGCTGACTAAATTTTTTCAGCTGTCTTTTCCAGTGGTTTAAACATGAGTTTAACACAAGCTAAATTCCCCAAAAGAAAGATTTACCGATTCATTCTCCTGCAATGTATAGGCTGGCATAGCTCAAGCGCTTAATTCCAAGGAAAACTTTCCTATAAAACCATAAAAGGAAATTCCTTCGCTGTGCACACTTATTAAAGGTCCCCTGAGGACATGTAAACAGTTAATATGTGAACTGCTGCTTTACCGCTTCCCTTACCTTGGCCCCTTGTTGTGTTGCTAACAAAATACAGTACTCCAGAAAAGGGGAAGCTGCTTTTAGATACTTTATTTGATCAAGGAAGCTTGTGCTTAAAATACATTATGTTGTTAAGATATAAAAGTTAACTATACTGTTCAGCACAGGACGTGCCAATATCCTCCTATATAAGTAGACATGCTGAAGAATAAACATAAGGTTTTTCCACCTTCATTTCAAGCTTGCCTTACACAGAAAACAACAGTTTTTACCCCTGCTGCTGCTTTGAGTGTTTGTTCTCGTCAGACTTTCCAGTCTACATTTTTAAACTGGAATTGAAATCATCATACAGCTTTTTCTTTTTTCAGAGTGAAATCAAAAACACCGGATTTCTGTTTTAGATGCCCAACTATCTCAGACACTCACTTAGAGATTTGTAAGAGAAAAGTCTTCCCCCCACACTTCAAAATAAGTGGTATTAATCAGGTTTTCGTAATTTTAAAGCTATCAAACAATATGCTGTACACAAAACATCATTTAATTGCTGATATATCTCAATTGATACAACTCCCAGAGGAGAAGGAAAAGGAGGAAGATTTTGACACGAGGTAATGGGATAACATTGGCAGCATGATTAGACACAGGGAATTGCAAGCATTTAAAAAAGAGTAGAGAGATAAAGTATGATCTTAATGTTAAAAGTTAAGATTGTTTCAACTTGAGCTCCATGTGTACTGATCTTCCCCCAGTCCTCTCTCACTTACTCCCTAATTTGCTAATATACACCACTCTGGAATTTGAAAGAAGGAGGAGGCATTTCCAACCGTCTAGCTCTCTAAACCACCTCCTTGAGTTTATCTCCAAGCCAGTCCACAGCAGGGTGCAAACCCATCACTCCCTTTGTAACAATTCTGCAGCAATAAGATCTGAAGTTCAGAGTTTTCTTGTGAATATTTTCATTTTTGAGTGCTGTTAATAAAAAAAAAAATCTGCATTTATGTAGTTGATCAATAATATGCAGAAGATTACACATATGTGAAAGCTAGAAGGCCCTCTGAAATCATTCAAGGCAGTGGGCTGAGTCTGTTAGACTCAAAATAGCCCAACAATGTTCCTGCTGTCTGGAGCTAACAGCTTGCATGTGAGAGCCCCGCAGCCAAATAACGGATCTCCCTCCCTCAAGTAGTGCACAGGGTAGGAACTTTCAAATGGGAGATCTGCAAGGAAGCATAAAGAAGCTCTAAAACTTTGTAAATAAGCTCCATGCTATACATGGAGACTGTGTCGCAATCCTAAGTCTATAATTAATAATGGTAGCATCAGTAGTTCTTAGATGAGTGTTTAAAGGTCAAGGGGAATTAAGTTCAACCTCCTTGTCCGCTCCAGATCTCCCTCCAGTTTCATTTATTGAGCCCAACAGCTTGTATCCATCTGAAGCATTGCTTCAGAACGGCATCCTCTCTTAAACTGAAGACAGAAAAAAATGGAGAAATTGCACTGTGATGTTTGTAACACTATACTTTTTGCAACACTAATTAAAAAAATTCAAACTGGGTACATTTATCAAAGAACAAACTTAGAAAAAAAAGTATGAAAAAGCACACCACTTGGCATTTGTGTTATTTTCCACAAGACTTACTTGTCTAACTTACCAATCAGGGCAAAGACAGCTTTGATGATCCCCTCAACAAACTCCAGGCGCTGAAATCCTGCCCTGGAGCCAAGGTAGCAGGCGTTCTTGTTTTTTCGACAGAGATACTTCAGTGGATACTTCACTGACCACCACAAGCCAAAAAGAATGAAAAAGCTCCCAGGGAGGGCATGACCCTTGAAATTGCCCATGGTTTTCTGCTACACAGTAACCTGAAGATAAATGAAAAAATGCAGACTGATTACTGGAATGGTGGTAGAATTTTACTGGACATAATCTGGAAGTCTCATCCTCCATAGATTGAAAGACTGTAACTGATCTAAGACCTCACGCTTTATTTAAAATCAAAGAGATCTGGAGTATTTACTTTCTGTTCAAATGCTGATCAAAACACCCAGCTGTTCTCCCAAGGTTTGCTGAACATGAATAAGTCGCCCAACTGCAAAACAGTCAACCTGAAAGGCAAAGCTTGCAGCTCACAAGTTAAGAGAAAAAAAGGCATAGCACACTATGTCACGCTATTGAAATTACTAGCAGAAGAGAGAACAGAAATATTCAAAACTGAGTTTTTCCCCCTTTAGTGTGTTACATGTTCCTCTGCATGGCAAGCAGGTATTAGGGCAATAGCAGATCGAACAATAAAAATAATTGTGCATAGACACAACAGGCACTGCCTAGCATGGAAAGGCACTAACAAATCAAATTTTGCCCATCAATCCAGATATCTCAGTGTGATTTATGAACACTCAGTAATTCTCAATATTTATAGGTGAACTATGAACCTGCGACTAGATGCCTATCATCCCCATTTTATACTTAAGTGCAATAATATGATTATTACTTGGGCAGTGTTATACAGTCAGTCATACAGTAATAATAGTGTCTGATCATGGAGTCATCAGCCTGAAACTCCCAGCTTCCAGGAGAGTCAAGTTAGCTCCCACAGCTTCTTCACTAAAATTTTTGCAATATTTGATTGCAGTTTTTCTTTAAGCTAGTATAAATTGAGGTATTGTTCATCATGACCCAAAGCATAAAAAATTTCTGCACAGAGCATACATAATCAAGGATAACCACTTTTCTAATCATTAGCAGTCTGTACGTTCTGCTACTACTAGTGTTGGCTTAAAAGCCTCATCAGCATAGTATAATGGAGACATCGGGTTATTAACAGAATATGAAGGCTCCAGTATATTTTTCTTTTGAGTAAGTATTTCCCATGATGAGCTCTTCACAAGAAGTTTTAATCTTCGGTTTGTGGGCCATAGAGTACTTGCAGATGGTTCACGTACTGCTGGCTGGTCACGTCGTGCTTAGCCCTCTCCTGCTCCTGCAGGCTAAATGCCACTGAAAGCTGTTTCTGTTTTCTTTAAAGAGAAACTCTTCCATACACACAAGTTCTAAAGTTGCCATAAGACTCTTACCCAATTGCATGAGGAAAGGTGACCAACATCACCACAAAGGAAAGGCAAAAATGAAAAATGACTGTTCGCGAGTGAAAAAAAGGAAGGATTTAAGGGCTCAGGCTGATGTAGATCCAGCTGTTGAAGTGATTCCTGCCCCCAGCTGTCTGGCCCGCCTTCTTCCAGAGCTGATTTCTCCGGGAATAAACCCTGGGCCGCACACACATTCCTGCGTGTTTAAAGTGCCATGGGCTGAGGGCTCTGCCCACCGCGTGCCCGCTGCAACCTCAAAGCCTGTGGCAGGGCTGGTAGATGCCAGGAGGCACGAAATCACTTCGGCTGGCTCTGCCAAAGCGCTGTGATGAGCTGCTTTAAAAACTACCTCCTGCATAAAACAACTCTTAGTTCATTTCTAGGAAATTATTACTGAATTACAGGAAATGGGACACATGACACGGGTTGCCAAAGCAAGCCCATTTCTTCATCAGTCTTAACTGGTGTTGCCAATGCTTTTATCTACATACTTAAGCCTGAAAAAGGACTGTGAGCCTAATGACACTCAGCCTGAGGAAAAATGGCAAACCTTGGCTAAAAACTTGCACTAGAGCCATGGGAAAGCAGTACCATCAGCCTCAGAGGGCCGCCAGCTCTACCTCCCCACCTTCATTTGCACATTTCTGCTTAAAACGGCTTAGCTAAGAACTTGTAGCACGACAACATGTTAAGATTTAAGCAAAGGGTGTGAGAAAAAAAGCAAGTCCAGTTGAGTTTATACCTGAATATTTTGTTTGCTGCTTGCAAGTGGGGAATGCCAGAGCAGCCTGCAGGGCAATCTGGTTCCCAGCTGTGTGGTCTGGGGACTCAGACCCACACATCGAGCTTGGCCTCAGCTGTATCTTGAAAGACTTGCATCATTTTAGCACACCTTTATTTCAAGGATTTTGATTAGTTTGTGCATCATTGCCAATAATCACTAGGCACTCATTTGCCTCAGAAAAGGGCGATACTGTTAAGAGCTGAAGTCTGGGCCTCCTGGAGGTGCTTGGGCTTCAGACTTTGAAATACTTCATATATTTTGATAGCCATAACTTCAGTTTCTCCTAAAACTCACTGGCCTGACTGGCACAACTGTCTTTTTAGAGACATGTTAATTTTGTCCTCCTTTGAATTTCGAAAAGGAGAGGGGAGTAGAGAGTGGCCTTTCCTACCCTGTGTTTGATCTCAGTGAGCACCATTCATTGGAAAGACTTGATTCATTAGACATTTTGCTATTCACCACAGGTGCATGGCACTCCAGCTGAAAAGACTTATCCTCTACCACACATCAAAGCAAATACTAGATTAAAGAGGTATATCAAAGCCATGGCAAGCTCAGCTCAAAAAAGTGACGAGAACTGCAGTTAGATTTTAGTCAAAGATGGGGGTGTTATTGCAATTTGTAGTATACAGCATACAAAACTTCAAAAGTAAATCTCAGTGTGTAAGCTCACATACAGGTTATTTAGATGGCCAATACTGCAACTATTTTCTGCCCCAAAGCATCAAGGTGATCCATCAAGATATTCTCTTTGAACTATTGTTCCTCTTGCAAAACAAGAGGGAAAATAAAAAGGAAAAGGATGCTACAACTGCTGTTGCATATACAACATAAGCAGAGAAGCAGAAAAAAAAAATGGACGCTCTTTCACTATAAGTGATGTGATCAAGCACTGCTAGTTTGAGACAGCACAAACTTTGGCTTGAGCCCATCAAAAAATGCTGGAGTTTATTCATTCACATGCTTTCCCGAGAAATCCCCACCACCAACTCGCTGCAGCAGAGACCCGAGGGCTCTACACGCTGTGACTACCTGAGAGGAGGTTGTAGTGAGGCCGAGGTCAAGTCTCTTCTCCAGAATAACTCCCGATGGGACAAGAGCAAACGGCCTCTAGTCGCGCCAAGGGAGCTTCAGGTTAGACGTTAGAAAAAAATTCTACCCTGAAAGAGTGGTGAAGCACTGGAACAGGCTGCCCGGGGAGATGGTGGAGTCCCCGTCCCTGGCAGTGCTCAAGAAACGGGTAAATGAGGCACCTAGGGACATGGTTTATCAGGCACCGGTGAAATGGGTTTGCAGTTGGACTTGATGATCCTGAAGGTCTTTCCCAGCCATTATTATTCTACGATTTTATTTTTGCGAGGCTGGAGGGGAGCTGCTGCCACCCACTGTTTTCCGCCTGGTCTCTTGGTTCCGTTAGAACCAGCCGAGTCTGGTTTCTGCCTCGCCTTGAGCTCTGGGCGCCATTTTAGCTCACACGGCCTGCGCGAACGCCGGCCCCGAGCGGCCCTACAGGAGCGCCCCACTGCCCCGTGGGGCGCCCAGCCACCTCTCACCGTGACCCGT